AAATGCTCAAAGGCTTTTCTAAATTTCTTATTACCTTTCCCTGACATTTGAAAATGTCATTTTTTTTTGCAAAATCAAGGTGGTGCTGTTATTTCTACTTATAATATCTACATAATATTCCTTAGGAAATTTTTTCTTGAGTCACCAACTTTGATATTACTTTAAAGGGTAAATTTGAATATATAAACATGGCAAATCTGACTCGGTGTAGTTTCTTTTCACTGTATCTTAATTGATTGTATTTCCTGCCTTTATAGAAGGGAATTTGGAGAGAATAGAATAAAATTTAAACATAGAATATTGTCCCAGATCTATAGTGTGTTTAGTTATCCTAACTTTTTTCTTATTGCACTAGATTTACTAGGACAGAAAAATAAACTGATTTAATGCAGAATAGTTAGAGGTCAATGCCCTTTAGGAGTACTTTTTCTTCTGAGATGCTTGCTGTGTCCTGTTGTGAGGCTGACAGTCTTAGGAGATGCCATTTGCTGGGTGATCTTGACTTTTCAGTAGAGGGGGACGTGAGAGATTATGGTAACTGAACAGGTGGAAAGACCCAGTTAAGCTTTAAGAGAATACCAGTTGCTAAAAGTTGGACAAAATGGGCAGCTTGGAACACAAGTCCTGGTAGTCTGTAGTGAAGAAATAGTAGGGGCATCAACTATTCCACATTCTGAAAGTAACTTGCAAGTGCACATCCCAGGAATTGCCAATATTTATCCTACAAAGATTTTCAAAAAGGCTTGGAACTAGAGGCTCAAATCAAGCTTTGGGTTAAATCAAGCTTTGTGTTAGTAGAGGGTCTTATTACCTAATTATTTGTGTAAGAGCTACCCAATACAATTTTTATTAATTTTCATCAGGTACCACATTTGTTGTTGGGTGCTAGGATATAAGGAAAAAAGTGATAGATATTGTAATTACCATCTTACTGCTTTCAGGCTACAATCAGATACAGACAAGTAACCAAGATAACACAACAGTGAGCTACATGCTATGATGGGAGAAATACAGTGAAGCATGGTGGTATGCAGAAGGACGTAGTTAATTTTACTTAAGGAGTCAGGTAAGATGAGGCGTCTATGTGAGAATTAAATAGAATAGAACAAGAACAGTGGAGGCAGGAGAGAACATTCTTGGAACATATAAGAAGATCAGAGGAAGTTCATAAAAATATTTTGTTTAGAACACTCAGAGCCTGGAAAGAGAGAGAAGTAGGTAGAAGTGAATATGAAAAGTAAATGGGGTCCAAATAATTAAGATTTTATAAGCTTTGGGGCTTTATTCCAGATGGAACAGGAGCCAATGAAAGGTTTCCTGGCAGGGAAATAATTAAATATGATTTTATGGCAAGGATTCTGGTGGCATACTGGAGTTGGAGGGAGGTAATACTGGGGAGAGGGAGACCAGTAGAGGGACTGCTGCATTAGTTTACTGAAGACAAGATGGCAGCCGTAACTGAACAAACAGCGCCATCTTAATAGCTGGTATTTTGGTGTTCGGCACACTAGACATTAAATTTGTTTACTCTTAACTTTTGTAAGATGTCCTTATACTTTTCTTTAATTCAGTATTTCTCATTCTTTATTTCTTTAAGAAACCACCCTTTATTTCCTCTTTCTCATACTTTTGGTAAACTTTTATATTTTTGCTGCTTCCTCCAAAAAGTGCCTTTACAGCCCCTGTCATATATGTCTTTTTCTGCTTTTGGTCATTGTAGTTTCTTTTTCTAACCTGGGTACAGAAAGTTCACATTGAGAAGGAAGTAATTAAGATTCTGAAGAATAGGTCTTGATCACCACAATTGTGGATAGCCTGAGATTTTGTGGAAAGGGCTAATAGAAAACAAATTCAGTGGCTCTCAGAATTGGAAGGAAAAAAATAATTTAAAGACAAATAGTGCTCCCAGAGAGGAGAAGCCTTGCTGTGTAGCAGTCAAGATAGCTGTAGAATTAGAAAAGACCAACATGAATGAACCCCGAAGTACAATATGTAATTAAGGGCACAAAAGACACATAATACTTGTCTAGTATGAAAAGAGAAGCTGAGAAATTGCAGGGTGAGGTTGAGAGTTTTAAAAAGACAGAAAGTGCAAAGGTGGAAAATGACAAAAACATTTCATGTAAGACTAACGGAAAGTGCTCCAATATTACATGAGACACAAAAGGTCAGTGAACAGCCTAGAAAGGTGTCTAATGGATAGCAAGGGTAATCCATTGACTGAAAGGGTCTTGGAGCCATTGATTTTCAAAAGTAAAATTAAATGAATTCTTTGCCTCAGTGCTCTCAGAAAGTACAGCTTTGCTAAAAAGAGAAATCAATTTAAAATGAAAGAAGTAAAATTGTTTCTTATACATGTTACCGGTCAATACATGGGAAAGGAATTTGAATTCTCGTGTAGGGCCAGATAGGTTTTCTTCTAGGATTAGTGTTCCTCAAGGCCCATAATTCATTATTAGGCTGAAAAAACCATTTTAAAAAGTGTTGTTTTGTATATTTTGTTTCCAAGTCACCCAGTTGCAGGCCATTTTAGTGCTTGATTGTTTGCATGAGAGAGATTGACACATCTGGCCCTTATCAGTAAAGCAAAGAAAAACTTCAGGAGGACAATAGAAGTCATGACAAAAGAACTTCCAGTCTCTCTGTCTCTCTGTCTCTGTCTCTGTCTCTCTCACCCCTTCTCTGTGGTCAGATACTCTTGTTCTTGTATAAGGTGACTCCTCAGACATACAAAACTGCATATTAAAGACAGGGTTTTTAGGAAAGGGTGAGCTGGATACCAAAGTAGAAGGATTCCTGTTTCTCTCTCAGAAGGGACAGAAATCCATTAAATTAAAGCATACGGAATCACTGTTTTTGTAAGTCAAAAACAATTGAGTACTGGCAATTTCATATAGTTTAATGTGGTGTATGTAGCTTAGGGCCTGCTCCATTAAGAGTGGTATGATTTTTTACATTTGTTTGTTTTCCTGTTTCCTCAGCTCTATTTTCCCACTGTAATGAGAAATGAACTCATTATAGCAAAAACAAAAAATTTTCCCTGTGCATGTTTTATGGGCAGAAAGAAAGGGAGACTTGTTCCTGTAAAAGGACCTTTGGTTCATAGAGTACACTATGCCGGTAGCCACTAGAAGTAAACTGCTTACCAGTCTGGGGCAGGCTCCAGGGAGATAAGGGTAAGCCTAGGCCTGACTCTGAGGCCAGTGTAAAGGGATTTGGTAGGGATCTACAGTTCTCCATATTTTTCTAAAGAATAATTTACCTGGGAATTGGCATAGAATAACATTTTGGGATTTAGAGTTGGATAAGCACTGACTTGAATCCAGCATGATCATGGGCAAGTTACTTCTCTGAACTCCCATTTCCTCATAGGCAAAATGGGAATGATAATAGTACCTCCATCATTACATCACTGTGTCTGTAGTATGCAATAAGGGTTAGGTATTATTAAAAATAGAATGAAAATAAAAGCAACGGAAGCAAAAGAAAATACTTTTTGAAAGGGCTCTTGGATTTTGCCTTACATGTTGAATGTGTTAGGGTAATTAGCACTTGCTGCTGCAATAGACAAAGCCTGAAATCTCATTGGCTTATCATCATACAAATTCTGTGCTCATGTCACAGCCTATAATATGAATGGGACATCTTCCTCCATTGTGCAGCCACAACATTGGGCTCACTTAGTCTGGAAAGTTGCTGTGATAAAGGAAGAAAAGGATGGAGACAGCTATGCAGCTTTTCAGTGTGGGCCCAGAAGTGGCATAGACCTTTTCTCCCTGAGCCTGTTACATGGGGCCAGCCTTACCTCAAGATGGCCTAGGAAAGGTAGGGGAACACTAGGAAGTATATGATCCACACAAACTGGTTTTGTCACAGTTTAGAAGCTAGTTGTGGGTTGAGCTCTATTCTGTCCCATTGTTTTTGGACTACAGAGACAGAGAAGGGTAGATGAGGTGGCACCTGTGTTGGAAAGGCTGGCAGCTGAAGTATGTCACAGGTACTGAGGAGACCAATGGAAATGGACTCATAGAGCTGGACTGAAATCATGTGGAGGAGAAGCAAGCCTCACCCTTTGAGATACAATTGTAGATTCTCCAACTCCACCTGTCACACATCTGGTCTTGGAAAGACAAGGGCCAAGTCAGGGCCTGCCATTTAGTATAGTGCTTAAAACATAATTGTACTGTGTCAATATATTACTTTAGACATAGCTTTTTCATTGTTCTATTCCTTTTTATATTGAAACAGTTCTCAAATACACAAGAGTGAAAGACATATGGTATAAATACTTGTATACTCATTACCTTGATTCTTCATATTTTGCCATATTTATAGCATTAAATATTTGTACATATTTATATTGTGTTAATTAACATGTATACATATGTTTTTCTGAGGACATTGAAAATAAGTTGCAGATATTCACCATAATATCTTATATAGTTAAAATAACATCATATCTAAAAGAATTATATACCTATATATCTATGTGCATACACACATACTATAATATAACCAATTTATATTTCATTTGTAGTCAAATTTCTCCAATTGTCCAAAAATTGTATATATATATATAGTTAAAGTCAGGAATTTAAGATTCACAGACTACATTTGGCTGTTAATACATCTCTCTTACATCTTTTAACCTTGAGATCTCTTTGTTTTTCTTTTTTCTTTCATTAACTTTTTGAAGACATAGGACTGTTGCATTGTAGAATGTTTCACTTTCTGGATTTTTCTGGTATCTTCTGAATGGTGTGATTTTCCTGCTTCTTGTATTCCTTGTATTTTCTGTAAACTTAAATATTAAGTCTACTGGTTTGATTAAATTCATGCTAACCATTTTTGGAAGAATATTGAATAGGTGATACCCTTATTTCATATTATATCACAACAGAAAGAATGTAATGCCTAGTTTTCCACTAACATGTTAAATTTGATCACTTTGTTAATATGGTGATCATCAGATCTCTTTCTTGTAAAGGGAAATAAAGTACAACTAGAAGAAGTCTGGCGGTGGCCCTGGGCCCAGCTACAAAGAAACAAGGGTAGCTTTGAGTGGAGAAAACATACCCTGAGGTATTATGTAACTAGCAACTAATTGATTCACTTGTAATTAGTGGTAATTAGTGACTAATTTATCCTAATATCTTGGTACATTGTGAATATTCCAACAATCTTTCACTAGAGATTTAGAATCCATTGATGGTCCTTGCCTGAAACAATTATCTAACTGGGAGTTATATAAATTGTGATTTTCAAAAATTCATGTGCTTCTCCTATATTTATTATTTGGCATTCTTCTGTGATGAATAACTTTCTAATATAACTGATAGTAAATTACATTTCTTCCTAAAGAAGCAGGGTCCATTCAGAATTTTAAAAATAATTCTAGGCAATTTTGTCTATAAAGAAAAAATAGACATTAGCTACAATCTCAACAACTGGGAAATCAATATTAAAATTTTAATAAATATCTTCACATTCTTTTGTCAAAGTATATACAGATACTACTGTAACACTCTACAAAATGTGGTCCCTAAATTTTATACTGTCTTTTGCAGTTAATACTATTATCATTATCACTTTACTGTGTTGTTAAATATTCTTTAAACTGTCTTTTTTCTGACTGCATACCATTCCATACTAACAATGTGGCATACTTTAGTTTCCTATTGCCTTATGATTGGAAAGAACGTGTATCCTTGATTTGGTGGGGCATCCTGATTTATGATTGTGCTCTTGGTAGAATTATTAAAGCATCCCCCATTTACTCCCAGAATCATCCCAGTTTGGAAGACAAATTATATAGTCATCTGTCTTACCATCACCTAACCTAAAACTGTCAATTTGTTGTTTTAAATTTTTAACATATTTGCTTTTATGTAAGTCTTTGAGTACATTCATGAAAGTGGATTCCTAAAAGTAAAGTAACTGAATCACGGTATATATATGTAATGACTTGTCTACATATCTTCCTGCTTGTAATTTCATTAAAAAAGTAAAACATTATACTGTAAAGTTGAACTCAACATATTTAGATGCCTTCAATGTTGATTATTTTGTTCTTTCTGTGAAGGGTTTCTCAGCACCGGCATTATTAACATTTTGTCCTAGAAACAATCCTTTGTTGTAATGGGTTTCCCTATGCATTGTAGAATGATTTAACAACAACTAGACACCAGTAGCAACCCCACTTCCAGTTGTAACAATCAATTGTGTTTGCAGATATTGCCAAATGTCCGCAGGGGACATGATGTATAAACCAGTTGTAAATCACTGGTTTAAAAAATGTGCAGGGGTTATCAACAACATCCTCCTCCTTATCTATGTAATTTGTCTAAAGCTATGAGTTTTTGATTTAAGAATTGCTGATGTAGCATACTGGAAATGGTAGAAATTACTTATTCAAGACTGCATGACTAAAATCAACTGAGTAGGAATTTAACTGAGGTCTGTGTATCCCCAAAGTCTTATTTGCTTTGCTGCCCAAAAGGTACATTGTCATACTCTGGCCATTGCTAAACAGGAAAATGATGGAAAAAGAAGCTTTTCTCTGGGGAATTCTTGGCAGTCATTTCATGACTGTTTGTTACCTAGGAAATTCTTATTTATTTTTAATCATTTGTACATGGGTTGGCTGCCTGGAGTCAATACATATCTTGCACTGGGGATATCAGTACTTCTGTTAATGAGCCTTTGTAAGGCTTAAAAGGGAACCAAATGATGAGGGATTGATTGTCCTTCCTTCCACCTCAAAGGGCCATCTTCCCCACTTTCTCTTATGTTGATGACTGGCACTTGGAAGAATGGAGCAGGAGGCGAACAGACTCCAGGACACGCTAAAGTGAAAGAAGTACTATTTAAATAAAGTGATGATCATTCCTTTCTCCTTCTGTCTCAAAAGCTGTTTGCTCAGAATAAGAGACATTTTCAAGTTCTGAAGTAGAATGTGACCTGACTAGCGTAGTTTCAGTTTGTTTGGGGGACAGGCTTCAAGCCATAGCATTGGACTCCTGAGTGGGGAGAGCGTCTTTCACACATTCTAGTGCTGGAGCTCATCCACCAGCACTGCCAGTAAAGGCCGTAGTGATGATGGGTGGCAGAAGGAATCTGGCATGGCATCCTTCTTTCCTAGCACCACAGGGGGAGGTTTGCCTCAAACTCTACTTAGAACCTTAAATGCAGGAATCTCAGGAGCCATGGTTGGACGAAAACTAGTTTTATCTAAGTTTGTCTCACTCCAAAGAGTAGACATTGCTGACTGTGGAGGCTCTTGAAACAGAAAGCAGTGACAGAATCACTTTTCTTCCAGACGATACTAAACCAGGAGAGAAAAAGCACTCCGAATCCAAAATGCAGTGAGTTCTCGTTTGTTCTTAAGCTAGTCTTTCTTTTTCTAAACTGCTTGATAGCTTTCAAGGATATATCACAAAACTTATAAAATAAATAAGAGATGGTAGGAAGCAAGGCAGACTTTTTGGATATAGGGAAGGAGGCTAGGGTGAGGGACAAAGGGGTAAAGGAGTTGAACATGATCAAAATGGGCTTATACATGTAACAACATATAACTTATACAATAACAGACTGTTCCATTGTACACAGAGAACATTTTAATGGAAAAAGTTCTGCAAAGTGTTACAGCTACCCCTTACAGAATGGCCAGGTCCTGTTATATATGGTCCATACTAAAGTCTTGAGCATCCTCCTCCTCTTAATCATTTTTGCTTAATCAAGGCAATGGATCTTTGCAGATGGTTCAGCTGCTCCTCTACAGTGTCTCTGGAGTTCTTCAGCAGGAGCATGTCTGAGCTCTTTGTGTCTCTCATCACCACTAACACTTCCCTGATCACTGTCATTGTCCCCCTTCTCCTCCAGCTCCTTCTGTTTTTGGTTTGGCAGATCTTTAGAAATCTCCTTTTCCTTCATGATTTTGTCAGCAGCATTCAAGCACCAGAAAAGGATGCTACTAGCTGAATGAAGATCCTTGGCCGTGTGTGTTCTGTGTGCACAGTTTGGTTCCATTTCCTCCAGACTAAAGTCCAATTTCATACCTGCCACAACACTTTCATCAGAATATGGAGGAGTCCAGGCTGTAGGGAGAGGACAGCAGTAACCTACAGAGATATCCATCTGTTCAGGCCGTAGCAGTTCACAGCACTTTCCATAGTGGACTTGAGTGTTTTTGATGTAATTGTCTTCTCTGAGCAAGCAAAGCATGAAATGCTAAAGAATTCCTACAGTCTGGGTGAGTAAATTTCAGCACTGTTGGTTGAGCATCAGCATGGTACAGTACCGCTGTGTCAGCCTCTATTGTCTTAACCTATTTTTCCCTTTCTATTGGGAAGTGAACCCAGGAATGCTCTACCACTGAGGTACATTTCAGGCTTTTTATTTTTTTTTAAATTTTGAGACAGGGTCTTCCAGATTGTTCTTGAATTTTGGTACTCCTCTCTCAGCCTCTGGAGTAGCTGGTACTACAGATCTTCAGGGCTGGTTTGTCTTATCCTGTTCTTTACTTGAACTATACTTTATGCTTTGCAGCACTCTGTGGTTTTAGAAATGTATTTAAAATGCATTAGCTCTTTGGCCATTACAGAACAACCGAGAGGCAAGTCGGATAGACACTCACGTTTCAGAAGAGAAAATGACCCACAGAGGAGGTGTGGTTTTCCCCAGCTTTACAGAACAAGGAATGCCAGCCTACTTCAGAGCCATCTCCGCTGTACCCCACACTCATGCAATCTCTGCTTTTAGACCTTTTCTTCTTTTGTTACATTTTAAACTAGCCCATACGTGAACAGTGTTAAAAGGAATGATTATGTGCCTGCCGTCCTGCAGCTTCAGTGCAACATTGCAGAAGGTGCCCGAGGTGTCTGAAATTAGGGTGCTCTCTCTAGTCTCTGTTTTTATGCTTTTCACTTTTGTGTCCTTGTGAAAGGCTGAGCAGAGTTTATGGCTATACGTATTTCACATTTCGAGTTTATGATAGCTTTTCTGTTAATGGCTTGGATATTATTGTGTTTCAACCCCTGCGACCCTATGTCAGGACAACTCGGCTCTGGGATGTATGGCAGAGTCATAATTTTAAAAACCCTTGGCCTTTCTCCCTATCAAAGCACACTTGAACATATAGCTGTGTTTTCTTGACTAGGACAGAGTTAGGATTTCTTTTCCAGTAAATGAGGATATTTGAAAATAATGTATGGTAACAGCACAATCTCTCTTTGTGTCTCAGACTCTTTCTGTGTCCCTCTCTCTGTTTCTGTCCCCTTTTTCCTGCTATAATGCATTTTCTTATTACGTATTAAAGTGCACTATAAAAAGAGCAGTGACATTTATTTAGCTATCATAGAGCTAGTTTAACTTGTGCTTCTTAGTCCTTCATTTCATGAGTTTTTTAGATCCAAATGATTTTCTGTTGTAAAGAGACTTGTTGTAGCTTATAATTGCCAGCTGAGATTCTAGAAACTTCCTGTGTTTCATCATAACAATATTATATTATTGACCTTTAAGTATAATCATTTAAACTTGCACTTATAGTTTATAGGGCAGTATATACTCTAGAAAATGAAGAGAGCCTTTTGCTTAAAATATCCAAATTACCTGGTGTGATGGCACACACCTCTCATTCCAGCACTGAGAAAGGCTGAGGTAGGTGGACTGCAAATCTGACCCGAGCCTGGGCAACTTAGTGACTTCAAGAGAACCTGTCTCAAAATGAAAAATCAAAAAGGGCTGAGGATGTGGGTTCACCACTTAACACTGCCCCCCAAAAGTGAAATTAAAGTCAATTCAAACTATAATGAAAATGGCTCTCTGCCTGTTTTCTGGTATGTTTTAGAAATTGATCTTTATGATTTCAGTGCTTGTGGTAGTTAGGGTCAGGTGTCAACTTATTTGGCTTTGGAATCCACTTGGCAGATAGATTGAGCACACTTGTGGGTGTGTCTGGGTTGGTCACAGAGAGATGGTCTTGGGGTCAATATGTGGTCCCTTGTCCCTTCCTTTCTGGCACTGTGATACTTTCTTTCCACCAGAAATAAGCATCTTGGCTCTATCATCCTCTTGCGCCATGG